CTCTCTCTCTCTCTCTCTCTCTCTCTCTCTCTCTCTCTCTGTCCCACTTGTGGAGGCCAGACAACCAAAGATGTCATTGCTCAGGAACTAACCACCTTGTTTATTATACAGGGTCTCTCAGTGGCCTGGAACTTACCAATTACGCTAAGCTAGCTGGACAAGATCCCCAGCACTGGAATTACAAATGCATGCCAAAATACCTGGCTTTTCATGTGGCTAGTAGGAACCAAACTCAGGCTCCCAAGCATAATACTAACTGAGCCATCGCAACAACACCTCCCTGAAAGGCATGTCCAAAGCTGTCTAGCAAGACACTGAAGTGGTGATGGGGTAGGCCACACCTGAACCTGGGCAGCGTAGCCAGGAGCAGCTTGAGCACAGACCTTATGTCAGAACCCTGACAATAGACTTGGCCAGTCAGTGGGCCTCTTTGATCTCCTTTCCAAATGGCTACATTAAATAAAACTTGTTTAATTGACCCTTTGAGGACAAACTGCCTATCTTTTTGGGCTACCAGGGCCCAGGCTCTGACCTTAATAATTTCAGTAACATTGAGACACCTTATATATGGCACATACAAAAAATGATAAACCAAATGCAGATTAAATTTTCCACACTACAAGGAACCTTTTCTTGGAATATAGTGTAGGTATGTGTTAGGACTCAAAGAAAGCCTGCACAAATGGCTGAGGTGACTGTTAACATATCAAAGGGGACACTGGCCAGCCCTCCCAGCACTATTTGTTGCCTCCCTGCTCTCACAGCCTAACTCAGTACCTGTGACTCCTCCCAGGACTTCTCCACCCTCCTCCACCCTAACCCTCTCTCTCCCAGGGGCTGGGGTTCTGCTTCCCACCCCTACATAACTCAGATATTTTGGCTGTGTTCTTGATCCACATGCCTTCATGGTCTCTTTTACTCCTGGCTCCCCTCTCCTGTCCTCTTTTCCATCCCTTTCACTTCCTCTCACTCCTTGTCCTCTCCCCTCAGGGCCATGGGCAGACTGGACCCTTCCAGAAGCTTTGGGCTGTTTTCTCCCTCATGTCTACAATAGACTTCCTCCTCAACCCATACCATGGAGCAGTCATGTCCTCATTCAATGTGAAAAGAAGTAAGCTGACTCTGTGATGCTCCAGCAGCACAGAAGCACCGGGAAGAGCTAGTGTCAATAATGAGCTTTAGCAATGCACACCATCATAAAATTTTACAGACGCATTTGAGAAAGAAGTGAGCAACTTTCCTGCGCATATTTTACAGTGAAATTGGATCCAATTGCTTTTAATCCTTGCAACTTAAGTATCTCCAAATATACCACTAAGAGCATCAACATGTTATCATAATTTATAAAAGTGAGTTATGAACCAGCTGGGCATGAAGAACCCGTTCAATTCAGGCAATTCAGGCAGGCTTAATATCCGATGTCACTCAAATGCAAAGAACCCAAGGAGTTGACCACAGTTGATCTAGGCGTTAGAGGTACCACTGCTTATTAACTTCAGCAACTGGTGGCACTCTTTAAGCAATAAGAAAATCAAACAGGTTTCAAAACTCATAAGGCCTCAAAAGAAAAGGTACATCTATGCTGCACACTCATCTAGAGCCAAGTGTGAGCAGGATGGACCACACTGGCACTAGAGGGTGTGACTGTAGATGAGGCACGAGCTCCCCTTCCTGCCCCATAGACAGGCTTTTCCAAGCCAGATTAAATTCTTTTGTTCAGAACAACACCAGCCAAATGAATGGCAACCCAATTCACAGACAAAGAGACTTCAGAGTGAAGCTGGCAGGACACAAACCACCCCTTCAACTCCCAGTGCCCATGGGAAGTGGAGGGGTGGAGGAGGTGGGGGACAACTAGAAGGGAAACCTCACACTCACAAACACCATGTAAGTTTGATTCTAGGAAGCAAGTTTGCCATGTATAATAAGAAGCTAATACTTTTAAGAAAGGACTTTCACAGGACAAGAGGCCCATTAAGTCAGTCACAACCCTACTCAGAATCATATAATTAATGCAATCAGGAGAGGAGGTCCCACAGACAAGGGTTCACAGGGAAGATGTTGGAGCTGCAAATTAAACAAATGAGAGAAAATATGAAGCATTTTCTTGGAGTAGCTGTCACTGGTGTCCCCAGGGGAATATGTAAGAGAGAGATCTGTGTCAGTGTAGGTGACATTATGAGACATGTGAGTGTATGCATGATTGTGTGCATGCATCCATGTATGTATATTAATTCTTTCATCCACAGTTCTTGGCTTCTGATCTTCCAACAAACTAAAGAATGCCTCTTTAGAGAAAACAGATGAGAATCCTTCTACAAGGCCAGTCTAAACGCACCACTCTATTCCGACATTGTCTTTACATTGTGCCTGTGAAGAAACCATTGTGTTTCCTTGTCTAATAAGATAACTAACCTTAGCACCAGGAGGGTCTGCTCTCTATCCAGTAAGAAAAATGGTACAGCCAGCCCAAGAAGAATTTGAAGAAACAGTTCTTGCTAGGTTGTCCTGCTCAAGCTATTAGCACTAGCTTAGACGTTTTTATACATGCTTCTATAGTATTGTTCATACTTTAATGAAATCTGAAAAAGATTCTTCATAGGCAGGGGCATAGGGGATCTCTGGAAAATGGGAAAGGGGCTCAGAACAGCTGAGTAACAACTCATTCATAGTGACATCTGAAGCTCCCATGCCCAGGACATCCCAGAACTACTCTGTTTCTTTTTCTCTAACAGGTTGTCTAGAAGCTTTAAAATATCATTTGCAACAAATTGGGGCGATGTAACTGTTTCCCCAAACTATATGAGCTACTCTAGAAAATTAACAACATACAGCTCTCACAGGCAGGAACTTGTGACTGAAGTGGGGGTTGTCTGGTAGGAGCGAGGCTTTCGGTGGGCTCTGCAGAATTCCCACACAGAGGTAATGTTGGAAAGGAATAGACTTCAAGAGCAGCCAGCAGACTGTTGGCACACCATTGGGGTTAAAGCTTCACACATTCTGGGATCTGAAGTGGCCTATGTTGTGAAACTGCAGTAGGAAAAGCTGAGGTTGGATGCATTGTCCCATTTATCCTCAAAAGCTCCTCCACAAAGATGGCAATGCCTCTCCCAACTTACACAAGCTCTCACAGAAGTCTGAAGGATTCCTAGAGGCTTCATGAACAGGCTGGAGGAGGTATGCAATATATCAAGCACTTTATAAATCACAGAAATCTGAAATACATGTATTTTCATTACAAAGAGAGTCTCAAATATTTACCAGACTATCAAAACATGACACAAATTGAGGAACATTAAGAGCTGAAAACAATACTCTGCCACCAGGTCCCTATGACTAAAACATTCCAGCATTCCACAGTGACTCCCTCTTTGTATAACCAAAGACTACCACCACATCCGGTGAGATCTGCCACAAACCCATCAGGCTTAGCATACTGGGAACAAGCAGATCAACACATGTTATCCCAACACAACAAAATTCGAACACATGAAGAAAGCAAAAAACAAAAAAAACCCCTCACAATACTCATGATGTGCCAGGTGACGCTGACGAAAGACTGGTTATGACAGGAGTTCTTTTCCAACTCTCTATATCTGTCCCGTAGCCTTCTTTCTGGTCACCAGTCTGGCTCTGTGAAAGGATGGGCTCAAAATGTTTGAGGATTGAGCAGTGTTACCATCAGTCCTAACAAAGGTGACAGAGGCTCATACCAACCATGATCACATCTCTGTCTCAGCATCTGGCAGGGACCAAAACAAAAACAAAACAAAACAAACCCTTCAAAGAAGTTCACAGCTCAGAGAGGGTTCTCAAACTCCTTTCCATGTCACCAGCCTTGTCATTTTCTATGGAGTGACAACAAAGTCTTCTAAGCTTCACATGAAATGTAACCTTCAGAAAAGAAGGCTTGAGAAATGGATAGAGAAGAGAAACTGTGGAAGGGAACAAATGATGGACATCACTGAGCAGGCTAAAGTTAGTGTGCCATCGACTCCTTATGGTTTTTACTTGAGCAAAGTCGAGCCTTGTGGGAAGCCCTTTGCCATGCTCTAGATATAGGGTTTCTGAGAAAGGAAAGAGACAATGTCCATTTAACCTGAAGAATGACCAAAGTAAGGACACAGTAAACAACAGTGGGGACCCTGGGGTCCCCAATTCTCTCACCTCCACAGGAAACCTCCGGCCGTTGACACTGTGCTCTGAGCCAGCTGAGCCATTGCTGTGGCCCCAGTGAAACTCCACCTTCTCAGCTTTGAACCTGCCAGGCAGCCCAGCACCACTCACAAAATAATCATCTTTTAGAAGGATGGCAACTGTCAAACGGAAGACAGAGAAGAAAAAGAAAGTCAGTTTCAAACCCAAACTTAAGTTTCCTTTTTTGCTTTTTTTTTTTTTTTTTTCCTATTGCTTCATGCTTACCATGGTATGAGTTACCGTCTCACACACCTATAAGACAATTCAAAACCACCTGTTTGAGGGAATGGATGCACTGTTGCTATGGAGAACAACTGGACCACTAATGGGTTCTTGTATAGTGCTACCCTTTGGGCATAAAACAGAAACTGGGTTTGCTGGCCATGGGCGTTCCCTCACAAGGGGAAGATCACTGGATCTTCACCTGTGATCCCAGCCTATCCCTTCTGAGCCAGATAACTAAATGACATTCTGCCCTAATGACACTCCCTAGCTTCAAGTGGTGCTGGAGCATAGTGAATGGAAGGTTAGCTCAAGTGGGAACTATACCTATGCACAGCTATGGAGAAGTCATCATCCATACTTTTGGGGGTCACCCAGATTCCTGTATGTAGCCCACCTCCAATGCTGTGTAAATGACCTAAAATGAATCAATCCCCCAGTGTAGACTCTGGTGGGCTTATACTCTGCTTTGTCATTGATGTCTTTGAAGAAGAGTACAGGAACTTATTTACACCTCCCTAGGCAAAGAGTTAACACCATAGTTCTAAATGGTGACTCATGCCAGGGAGTGACTATAGAATCTCTTAGCCATTAAACAGATAGGAGAAAATGGATATGTTTCTAGAAAGCAAGATCCTTCCAAAACACTGACCTCGAGGCTGTCCTAGGATTCAAGGTTTATAATTAGATTAGAAACATACAATACACCACATGTGACAGGCATGTTTCTTTGACCAAAAAAACAGAATGAACAAAATAAACAAAGCCCAGGCAAGAGAGTTCAGAAAAGATTTTTGGAGGCTGGTCATACAGTAAGGCTTGTTGTTCAATGGGCAGACAACAAGAGCTGTAGATGGAGTCTTCATAGTTGCTTACCATCCCAACAGTGAAGTGCACAACCTGGCCATTAGTACTTCATTCAAACATTGGCCCATAATCATATTTCCTGTACTGCTTTTCTTTAACTCCAAATATAAGAAAATTATGTTCAGATCATGATAACACATGACAAAAATGCCTCAACCATGAAAACCCCAAGTATTAAAAATGTAGTTCTTTTCCTCGCACCCCAGGAACAAGAACTCAAGAATCATTTGGATTCTATTATTTAGTGTTTTCAAGGAAAATGGGATTATTTAAAAGCATACAAAACAGTTTCAGTTTTATAACTGCTACATTCCCACTCTCTCCTCCCATCCCCCTAAAGCTGATTCATTCATTCATTTAAACAAATTCTTATTGGCTGCTAAATACATGGAAGTTGCCAACCGATACACTGACTGGCTTAGGACCAAAAGGCAAGCCTGTGTAAGCCATGGAAAGCAGTCAGGTTCTCATTGTCTCTTCTTCTGAAAGAGATCCCAGTCAGAGCCGCACAGAGGAATCCTGCATGAAAATTAGGTCCACATAAAAGATAGGGACTAAACTAATGACCCATTTCTGAAACAGGGCAATTAGTTTCAGTGCTTTGCCATGGAAAGGAAGCATTAAAAGCAAGAGAAGGAGCCCTGATCACATAAATCCCCCTATTATTGCTTTCAAAAGGCACTTGTTCACCAACTTTTGAAAAATACACAGTAAATGTTCAATTAGTGGGACAATGCATTAAAGAACAAAATGAAGTAAAAGCAAGCATTTCTTGTGCCAATTAAACAAGCTATGGCACTGTTCCAGTGTTGCTCTGTTTGGGGTATGCTTTAGAATAGAGGTCGGCACACTTTTCCCTTTAATGGCCATTAGTAAATATTTTAAGCTTTGCAGAGCACTGAGCCCCTGGTGGAAACTTGGTAGAACAGAAGACAGACACCACATGGAAATGAACAAACAGGACCACATTATACAAAGAAGTTACTTAACAACACTGAAATTTGAACTTAAGATAATTTTTATGCATCACAAAGTATTACTCTCCTTTTGAGTGTGTGTGTGTTTTCCTGTAAGCATATGTGTATATGGGTATACATGTACATGAGTCCAGAAGCCAGAGGTCCAAGTTGGGTGTCATCCTCAACAGCTCTTTTTATTTTATGAGGTAGATCATCGCACTGAACAAGGAGCTCACTGATTGGCTGCCTAGGCTAGAAGGCCAGTGCACCGTGAACCCTCTTATCTCTGTCTCTCAGCAGTGAGACCACAAGAATGCACCATCTCACCTGGCTTTTATACAGGTACTGGGGAGTCAAAATCAGGTCCCCATACATGTGAGGCAAATACTTGACCAAGTGAAACATTTCTCTAGCCCCCTGTTGTTTTATTCACTTAAAAATATTAAAAGGGGCAGATGTCATGTCACTAGGTGGAAAAATATTATTAAAATTATTATGAAGTTGTTGCAGAGTTGCTGTACCAGGGGTAGGCATTAGAAAGAACAGCTGTTTTCTAGAAGTACTCTGCCCTTGAAGAATCATTGTGGTAAACAGTAAAGAACCTTTGTGGAGAACAGTGATTTGTAGAATTGGTTTCCTGGAGGGGCGCTACAGTTTGCACATGACTTTGGTCACAAGACACCCCTGGCACACCTGAGGGTCTTGGGTTACTGTGTACTGCAAATGATACACAATAAAGAACTAAAGTCATGAGGGCATGTGATTCTTTCCTTTTGTGAGATGTATAGATTAGATCAGGAACCTTGGTATGAAGAACTACTTTACCCCCAAACAACTTTGTGTACCAATCTATAAATATGCCTTTGTACAGCTGTTCGGGGTTCAATCCATCAGAGAGGCTGGACCTTTCTGCTGCCACACAGGCCCAAAATTTCATCTTGGAGTGACTTCTTTCTTCACCTGACACGCACTACACAGAACATCCTGACAAAGTTGAGCACAGTAATAATGGGTGGGTATAAAGCTATCATGAAATACCTCCTGAAGTGTTCTACAACACCTCAGTCTATCTTTCTTGCCAGTGCCCAAGCACACAGGCAGGTGTCTAACAGTGCCGCCTACTCTGAACTCCACAGACACTTTCCTTCAGAGGAACTAGAAGCAAAGATTTTGAGGGCATCTTTTAGGACACACCCAAAGACTCAGCATTGTCTCATGAATATTTGATTCTACCTAAATCATTCATGTCTCTGTCAGGGGTCATTCTACTTGTTTTACATGAATAATTAAAGGTATAATTAGTCAACTGTATAATCCAAAACATTAATCTGTTTTCATTTTATGGAATTTCTTACCAGACACACAGCATGCCCATGCATACATACTGCTCCAAAAATAGCTTATGTTTTGTTTACAGTTTATGAAATAGAAGAGAAAGCTTCCCGGTTATCTTGCAATAACTTTTCTAAGGGCCAATGATGGATGGCAGCATTATTTTGAAACAGAGATGAAAAGGTAGTTTCACAAAAAGGCTTATGACAGAGTGGCATGACCTCAAGCAAGTTACCAAATTCTCTGTGCCTCGGTTTCCTCCAAACTGGCAAGGCTGAAGGGCACCACTTTACAAAAGACCCATTTACAGTTAAAGGAACCCTGCACGTACATAATCGCTCTTGACTACTGTCAATCATTTCAGGAATCAAAATTGAAAAGCAGTGGCCGAGTATGTGCGACTCTAAATGTTCACAAAGAGCATGATTCAGGCTTCAATATGGCTAAGTGGTAGAGCACTTGCTAGCATGCTTAAGGCTATGGGTTCAACAATAAGCAAAACACACATGATAGAATTTAACTCCAAAGCTAAGAGTGTCCCAAGTCAGGCCTGGAAGGGGAACTGAAGGACTGAACTGTCACTTTCAGTACACTTCAATAAACACTGAAAAGATACTTTCTTTTACAAATTATATCAATTCTTTCTTTTTCTTTGAAAAGAAAATCCCTGTTACTTTATTATTCATTTCACTCTTTGTTTCAAAAGGGAATATTAAACTAGGACTTAATAACATAGGAATCTTTGATTTATTTTCATGGATTATAGACTTCATTTTAACAGATTATGTTCCAAACCTCCTCTGGGTTTTACATTTGTGATCTGGATACCAAGTTTTCTTGGAGAAAAAAAATCTTATTTAATCAAAATAAAATTATCATATTTAAGAAAAAGACTAAATACAGAATATTGCAAGAATAAATGAAAATAACACAACAAATAACAGCTAAATATTGATAAGGCATAAAGACATGAGTGAGTTTGCAAGCGAATAGCTCAACACTGGAAAACAAGATTTACAAATGGGATGTCTGTGAGGACCTAAAAGTGGGACATAAAAACCCCATTCCCAGTGTTCTTTATTAAATGGCAAAGCCTTAGGAAGGTGCTGAGACCATGATGCTGGAGTTTTCATGAATGGGACGAGTGCCCTCAGAAGTAAGCAGAGAGAGAGACCCTTGCCCTGTCCACCCACGGGAGGACAAAGTGAGAGAAGACCCTCCAGAAACCAGAAAAATGTCTGGGCTGAGAGTGGAATCACAAATGCCTGAATTTGGGACGTCTAGTATCTGTGAGAAATGTGTGAATTACTTGCTGCATGGTATGTTGTAACAGCAGCTGAATTGATAAAGACAATGGGACAAGTGGAAAGGGAAGGAAGGAACATCCACGTGAGTGGACTTTCTGTTCATGTGGATCAAATGTTAACATGGATTGTGAAGAAATCAAACAGAATAAGGGAAGAGGGGGGATGTAATGGGGCTTCAAATTCAATGTTTTTGATGACCTAGAAGTCCAGGTCCAAAGCAGCAGCCAGTGAAGACCTTTCTTTGCGCTCTAAGGTCAAGGTCTCCCTCAAGCCAAGACAAGAACAGTGACTTCAGGATTGCATAGAGCCAATGTCTAAGATGTGATCTGCAGTGAACAACTATGCATCTCAATATCAGATACTCATTTGATCTGAAGTTCTGGGAGCCTTGAAGGGAGCTGCAACCTCCTCTGCATTATCATAAGTCATGCAGTTGGGCAGGGAGAGGCTTCTAGTTTCCTCTGTATACCAGTGAGCAATTAATGTGTTCTTAAGTCTACAAGTCTAACAATGTAGATCTACTATTAAAGTCCCAAGTTTAGGAAAACCTAAGAAGCAGAATCGTGTCTGCCTCTTGTCATTAGTTGATGTGAACTATATGTGTATAAGTGTTCGCTGCCATCAATATTTTTATTAACACAAAATGAGTTTTAAGAAGATTTAGTTTGATTTTATGTGTAAGACTATTTGCCTGCGTGCATGTACACTGTTTATGGCCGGTGCCTGCATCAGTCAGAAGAGGGTGATGGATCTCCTGCAGTACAGATGGTTTGAGCTAGCAAGGCAGCAAACCTGGGTCCTCTGCAAGAGCAGTTGGTGCTTTTAACTGTTGAGACATCTCTCAAGCCCCTCACAACCATTTCTTGAAGATGACCGCAATTAGTACAATGGTATTTTCACACATGACAAGAAATACAGGCACAGAGAAAAATACAGTAAGTCAAAATACAGTGGGAAAAGGGCAAAAGTTCTATAGCATACATTTACTATGTATCCCAGAAGCAGTCCTGAGAAACTAGTGGTTCAGAACAATACAAAAGTCCTCTATAGTTAACAATCACAGGAGGACAGCGCAGGAGAACTATAAACCAGGCAGCCATGGATCCTGCAGAAGAAACAGAGAGACACTCTCTGTGAAAACAGGGTATTTTAGACAACTTGTCAAAGTGGGTAAAGTGCAACCAAGTCATCCTATGATTACACTGGATGACAGTCCCAAGAGTAAAGACAGATCCAAAGACCAAGACTGTTTTACAGGAAGCCACTGCCTCCACATAATAGGAAGCTTTAAATATTAGCTTTCTATATTCATATTTCAATATCAAGAGACATTCCATTTTACAGATAAGTGACCTCAAATCTCTACGGGTGGGGAATACTTCTTGGATTTACTTTCTAGAAATATGAGGTTTGCAAAAATACTTCTACAGAAAAAAAGTATGCTTAAAAATAATGTTTTATAGGCTATAGTTTTATAGGAATATAACTACATGGGAAGCCTGCCTAGGAATGCAGAAAGAGCTGGCATTGTGGGAAAAGAAATGGGGAACAAATAGTGACTTAAGAAAGAGAAGACTTTTCATTAACTAGATATGAAAGATGGATATGGCTACAACAAGGATAGACCTCATGGCTTACATAGCATAGACTTTTAAAAACAAACTTAATTTTTTGGATGATTATAGATTCATGTCTAATTTTAAGAATATAACCCCAGAATAATGTTTCAGAATTCATAATATGTATGCAAAAAATATCCCCAAATAACTTGAATGCTCCAGGTTATGTCTCAATATGATTTAATGGAAATTAGTATCTCATGCTAAGCAGCTCTAAAGGATTCTGAATTGACATGTACTGAATTCATATGAACTATATGAATTGATAGGATCCAAAACAGTACCCTCAGTGGGTGGATATTTCTCCCACATACTAGTAAATCTGTGCATTTAATTTTAATGTCAAGAGAAGTGAAAAAGTATCTAGGGTTTATCATTTTAAAAAATACAAGTTGATTTCAGTGCCAAAGTTTCTATAACAATATATGCTGAGATTTTAAGAGCTCAAGAAAATCACTATATGCTCTTCTATCAAATGGCATGAAGTGGCTGTCACTTAGATCACACCCCGGCCCCACCCTGCTATCATCTTAGTGAATTCACGTGCCACCATCTAGTCTCCTGTGAATTCCACAGTAATACTGGGAGTCTAACAAGTACCAGGGATTAATGCCTGCTTCTCCTAGCATATCACTTCTGCACAGCAGACAGATGTAACCACATGCTACTGGCTGTTCTCCAAAATCAGGAATACACACTCTGAGCAACAGGTAGCACATCACTCTAAGAAGTCGGCAGAATGACAGAGATTGATAACCAGCTTTGAGAAGGCCAAGGTCATGAATCAAGTTACACTGAATGAACCCTGCACATGTCTGAAACCTTTTGCTGGAGATGCCAAGCTGAAAGCTGTCACTGAAACATGCTATCTCTGCAGAAGGCTGTCAAGCATTGCAAGTCAAGTAGAAAACTGTAGCAGGGCACCCAGTGTGCTGCCTCTGGCTGCCTTCTAGAATGAGGCACTGAAGTGGCACTGACTTTAAGCTCTGGTTACACCAAGCATGACTAAGCTCTTGCCCAGTGTATTTGGATGGCTTCATGGTTTTCCAAGGGACACCAACATTTGGTATATAAAACCTGACCATTGCTTGGGAGTGGACTGTAACAGTAAACTCATGACCTATGCTGATCATGGAGAGAGGAGATGGAAAGGCATCTGGAAACAACAATGCTGGGGATGTGACATGACTCAGATGGTGAAAGTTTAGAGTAGAGAAGCAACACCAAAAAATTGCCCATTGAGCTCTACTCTACACCCATGCTGCGGCGGATAGGGGAAACAAGTTGAGTACCTACGTCTTTGAACACACACACACACACACACACACACACACACACACACACACACACACACCAGTGCACAGATATCAATAAGTAACATTGGCACATCACTGATTTACCTTGAGCATTTACAATCATGGGTAAATCAAGGTACAGGAAAGGATTGTCTGCTCTATGGCCCCATGGTGGTTTGAACAGAAATGTTCCCCACAGGCTCAGGGAGTTGAATTCTAGTTTAGTTGGTGGTACTGTCACTGGAGGTGGTACAGCCTCATTGGAGGAAGCATGTCACTGAGGGCAGGATGTGAGAATTCACAGCTTCCCCTAACTTCTACTTTGCTTTCTGTTTCATGCTTGCAGATGGGGACACGGCCGCTCAGATCCCTGCTCCATGCCTGTCTGATGCCATGAAGGACTCCTTCTGGAACCAAAGCCCAAATAAACTCTGAGCTTTGTAAGCTGGCTTGTTTATAGTCTTGTCATAGTAACAGAAAAGTAACATTAAAGGAGCAGAAGGTGATCTTACACAAGGCCTTATGGGAAAGAGGCCAATGCCAAGAATCACTGTAAGGAGTGTATGGTAATCAGGTGTGTGAACAAGTCAGGCCAGGCCAAAGCCAAAAGCTGTTTCAGCCAGATGCTGATCTGCGAAAAGAAAATGGATCCCTAAAGCTTCTATGTAACCAAGGAAGTTTAAAGAAAATACAAGTCTGAAGTCCACTGACACACATGAACCCAGCAGATATAATTTCATTTTAGCCTAACACAGAGCCTCAGGCCATGAGAGTCCTGTATATTAGTAAGAGTGACTTGACAGGTTGCAAAGGATTCACTGAGATGGGGGAGTAGAAGGAAGAAGAAGGACATTTATTTTAATGGACTCAAGCTATAAGCAATTAAGTAATAAGATGATAAAAATCTCTTTAGATAAGAACTTAATCCTTGGCTACAGTAAGCAGTGACATAAACACACTCCAGCGTTTCCAGGGAGATGAGAGATGAGGGCACAGCATAGCATTCTTTGTGACTTCTGTGAACAATCCAGAAACCCTGGAGTAATTAACCTGGAAACTTGTTGAAAAGATGCCACTCCATTCACTAACCCCCCAGATGACAAGTGATGTGCAGGAAGAAGGGAGAAGGTTCAAACAGTAGGACTAATACATAGATGGCTGAGGCAGTTCATCCACTCTGATATTTTAACAATTCCGAACAAAGCATGCTGTCAAGGAAGGTATGACATATTTCCATTGGTTCACTTGGCACGGGGCATTCTCATAGGATTTTCCCTATCTGTGGCACTCAGTATGGCACCACCGACTCTGTGTGGCTGCTGAGTTTTGGAGATGTGTCCACAACAGTGGAGCTCAGTTTCATCTCACTGGATGTTTTTTGTTTTTTGTTTTTATTTTTGTTTTTGTTTTCTGAGGCAGGATCTTACCATGTATACCTGGCTGTTCTGGAACTCACTCTGTCAACCTCAAACTGATATCAAACTCAGATTTGCCTGGCGCCACCTGCCAAGTGCTGGGGTCAAAGGTGAATGTCACTGTGCCCAGCTTTTACTTAATTTTTAATTAAAACTTAAATTTAAATGAGACACCCAGCAGTTAAAACCTGCAACATCAGGTGCTTAGACTCAATGAGTATTTTCTTCAAGTCCATTCTAGGACCTAACACATTAATTCACTGGACAATTGCAACCCTATGAGACTGGTATTATTTTATAGTACCTACTATACATATTTGTAAAAACTGAGGCACAGAATAGTTAGACATTTGCCTGGAGTCACTCACTGGTTGCTTGTAAAACCTAAGATTGCTTTAGGTTCCCTACAGCAGTGGATACTATCTAAGAAGCAAGCTATAATAAAATCATACACCAAAGGCACCCCAAAATAGTTTTTTGTTGGTGGGAAATAAAGACAAATAAATAAATACAAGTCTACCTGTTTTCCCTGTGTTTTTCATCCAGGTTTTGTTGGAGGACTCATTGTCAAATCCATCAAGCTGAAGCTCCTGGTATTCTTCACCAACACGTGCATGGTGGTCTAAAATGTCGATGGGAGACTGATGGCTGCCCCCGCAGCTGACACTAGATGTGACCCAGTGCTCAGGACCATAGGCACCTGTTGAGAAAAGCAACACTTCAGTTCTCGTGGCCCAACAGTTTGCCTTTAAACAAATGAGACATGAGGCTAAGTGGGCTGAGGAGGAGCACAGTGGGAAAAGTGCCTGTGAGCAAGCAGGAGGACCTGAGTTCAGAGCCCCAAAATCCAGGTGTGGTGGTCCATGTTTGCAACCTTACATTAGAAGACAGGTGGGTTCATTGTCCAGTTAGGCTGGCTAAAGAGTGAGCTCAAGGTTAAACAAACAAACAAACAAACAAATCTGTGTCAAAATGTTAAGATGAGAAACACTATAATGTGCACTGCTACCCTGTGCACAAGTACACACACACACACACTAATATGGACTCCTCTCTCTCTCTCTCTCTCTCTCTCTCTCTCTCTCTCTCTCTCTCTCTCACACACACACACACACACACACACACACACTCACTCACTCACTCACTCATTTGCAGTTGACGCAGTTGGCATTCTTGGACCACCAACACCAAAATCATGACATGGAGACTTACTAATTATGAATGCATGAATGCTTGGCCTTAGCTTAGGCTTGTTTCTAGCTAGTTTTTTTTTTTAACTTAAATCAATCCATTTCTATTGATCTATGAGCTGCCCTGAGACTAGTTAGTCTCATCTACATACTGTCCATCCTCCTTTTCTGCCTCCTCTGTGTCTGTCTGTCTGGCCTGTGGCAGACTCCCCTTTTCTTTTTGGCCACCAGCCCCACCAATCCCTCCTCTGCCTAGCTATTGGCCATTCAGCTTTTTATTAGACCAATAAATTATTGGTCAATAATATTTATTAGACCAATAAATTATTGACCAATAATTATTTATTAGACCAATTTCAGTTGCCTTAGGCAGGCAAGATAAAATAGCAAGACATCTTTACATACTTAAACAAATGCAGCACATCTTTAATAGTTAAACAAATATTCTATTCCACAACATTCATGGACATGCACACATATACAAACACACAACACACACACACACACCTACAAATATACATACACATATACATGGTCACCCACACACACCTTTGCAGTTTTAGCTTTCAACTGCTTAAATATCACAGTGAAAAAGGAAAGTAAATTAGGCATTTTTGTGCCTCACAGAACTACCTGATGTGAAGGAAGATACAGGAAGACTATTGAGCTCTCCCTGCTACTCAACAGGAGCCCCACACATGTCACCCCTACCCCTGGGCAATCATACCATAGTCCCTTATGCCTATTGCAGCTCAAAGCAGACACAAACAACGGCACCAGGAAAAAAGGGACAACCACAGACAACTTCTCTGTTGTTGTTGGGTTTTTTTTTTTTGGACAAATTATAGCTGCAAGAGCAATTGAAACAGGTCCTTAAAATGATTCATATTCTTACTCTCTGGAAAATACTTTAGCTTGGCTATAAGGCTGGGTCATTTTCCCAAACACCCATCCCTAACAGTACGAGGAAAAAAAAAAAAAAAAAAAAAAGAC